TAGATCTCTATGGTATAACTATATGGTATATATATATATATATATAACTATGTACAAAAACAGTAACCGCTTACGTCAAAACCGGATTATTTCGCTCAGAACTAGTTTCTAGTTTCCAATTTCCATAAACGATGCGGCCCGAGCCCCAAACTCTACTCAGCAGTTGCAAAACAGTTCTGGCTTTTATTGGGTTGTTGAACGAGCGAGATACAAATTATTTTAATTAATTGTTTTCAAATTTTAACCATGACCCGGCAAAAATTCGATTATAACGATGACTCCGCAGTTTTAGCGTAAAGTCACGTGATGTGCACTGATTCCTCTGATTGTTCTCGAACATTGAGCAATGCGCAAACATTTCGATACCATAATTTATCCTTTCACTTTCATCTTCTTTCACACCTTGATTTTATCATAGATAAAGCATGAACTGTTAACTTTAGAAACATTAAAGTTGTAAAAATGAGGAGTAGCACAGTAATATCAGACTTCTCTGGCCAAAACAGGGATGAAGAAAACCCCAGCAGCAACAAAACCCCCCCCAAAAAGCAACAACAACAAAAAAAACCCCGACAAAAATGACGAGCGTACTCGATTCTGATAGCCTCAAATGCCACTCGGTTGACAAACTCGAACTTTCCAAGCGAGAGAGCTCTCCGACAAGTGCGACAAGTTCAATAACTTGAACGATCAATCTTGCCGCATTGGACGCGCAAAAATATGAAAGTGATGATAATTCCGACCTAAAAGGCATTCTTCTATAAACTTGAAAATAAGCCGAAAATACGCCTTTTAACAAAAACTTATTAGTGTATATTGTTTATTTGTTGAAACTCTCGCTTTTCTGTTTCTTTTTACTCTCGTCAATTTATTTTTTGTTCAAAAAGGCAACGTATTAGCAACTGCACTTTACTTCTCTGGCAAGTGTTGTGCGTTGGTTACTATAAAAACATCACTTCACGAGGCGTTCGTCGTGTCCCCCAAAACCGGTACATATTCCGAGTCTAGAAATTCGTCTGCTAAGACTAGATCTAGCCGTCAACTTGAAAGGAAATTCCAGACAAAACAACAACAAAGATCAAGATGTCAGGCGTAAAGGAAATGTGTGACTCCAAAATCGCAGGGAAAAAGGTTATGGTGTTTTCCAAATCCAGCTGCCCGTTCTGCAAGAAAGCCAAGACTGCTCTGCAGAAATATCTTGGGAAGGAGCTCCCACCAGAGGATTATGAAGTTCTGGAAATTGAAAATATGTCAGAATGTCAAGCCATCCAAGATTACATGCAGAAGCTCACGGGTGGGAGATCGGTATGTGGTTAAGTGTACTCTATTTACTTAGACTAAGTCTAGAACTTACTAGAAGACTAGATCTAGTGTTAGGCTAAAATGTGGTGAGGGGCATGGCATGACATGTGGGGTTTTTTTTTGGTGCTTTTTCGGTAGTTCCCACCCCCCTTATTTGAGCCTGACCTACATCTAGTTCTAGATCTATACGTTTGATTCGCGGTGAGCTAAGATATCAAACCTAACAACTGCAAAATATTAAATTATGGTAAAATTCAGGGGGGCATGCCCCCCTGAAACCCCCCTTCCTATTTTTATTAGGTCAGGGGGGCTTAAACCCCCCTACTCTTGTGGCCCAAACCCGTTAATAAAATTGCGGGGTGGGAACTGCCGAAAAAGCGCCTTTTTTTTAGTAGATCGTAAGTTATTAAGACATGAAGCTGCAGCGAGCACCTAGAACACCTCTGAGATTGGTCCAAATATAGATGACGTATTTCCGCCATCTATTTTTCGTCTTCTGGGGCTTCCTTTGCCAGTTGACTTGATCTAGATTTTAGATCTAGATATCTTGATCTAGATCTATAGACTAGATCTCACCGTTACAGGCCTGCAGCACGTGATGGGCTACGTCACTTGGTTTCATCTCCGACTGCTTTGGCAGTGTGTGTGCATGTGCGCACGTGTTTGTGTGTGTGTACAACTTTGAGGAGAAGGTAAATTTATGGAATGAGAATTGCTGAGATTGTTTAAGATAAGATAACGCTAGAAATTAATAAAAGGCTGAAAAGGAAAAAATAAAATAGGCTGAAAAAAACCAGCAAACGAACATGTCGAGATTTAGTCAGTTACTGGTGAGGGAAACCCAAGAGTCTTGGGGAAAACCCCGGAAGTCGACAAAAATAGATTGCAGAAATACGCCATATCTATATTTGGGCAAATCACA